GTTACATACCCGATCGATCATCCTTGCAGATGGTGTGGACTTGTAGGTCCTTTCCGCCAATCTTTTTGCATGCTTTTACGTAACAACTGCGTGCTGCTCGCTGGTCTCCTCTGACGACTCCTATCCCACTCGGAGTAGGGAACTTCATACACAAGTGTTCCACCGACACCATGGCCTTGAGGTCCTCCAGTGCCGGTCTCTCCAAAATGATGTTGTGCACACAAGTGAGTCTTACCACGATGAATTCCACGTCAAGTTTGCGAATGTTAGGGCTCGTGCCTATCTCCACTGGTAAGACCACTAACCCCTCCGCTTCCACTGAATCACCCGTAAATTCAGAGAGTGGGGTACGTACTTCTTTGAGCTGGTTCCTAGGTATCCTAACTTGGTGAAGGCATCGTAATACATCACATTGACTGAGCTTCCCGTGTAGACTAAGATGCGGCGGACAATGACATTGTTGACGTCCATCTCAATCACCAGGGCGTCATGATGGGGTAACGGGCCCTCTGGGAGGTCATCATTAGAGAAGGTGATGGCCTCCTGTCTCTGTTTCTCTTCTCTAGGAAGACTCACCACTTCTCCCACGTATAGCTGCCGGCTCCACTTCTTTCTTTCCGCAGGTGTGTCACCCCCTGCGGGTCCACCATAGATAAAGTGTATGGTGTGCTTCTTTTGTCGTTTGGGCGCCACCCCGATTTCTTTCTCGCTATCATTCTGCTCAGATATTTGGTCGTGTTCTCTTTTTTTGGCGTTCGAGGTGGACGGCTCGGTGCCATCCTCATTCCTCCCGACATTTTTTTTGGTGGATTGTGTTGCGGCTGTTGCTGCTGCTTGGATCGCTTGACGAAATGTCGGAAGTAGCCCTGCTGGATGAGTTCTTCTATTTGTCTCTTCAAAACGTGACACTCATCCGTATCGTGGCCGGTTTGCCTATGAAACCTGCAGTACTTTGTTTGGTCCGCCTTCGGGGAGACCTTCATGCACTCCTCGGGGAATTCTACCATTCCCATCTTCTCATCTTGCTTTAGAATGACACTGACGGGATAGGTAAGAGGAGTTAAATTATGCAAGGGGACCAGGCGAGGTCGTTCGTGGTCTCGGCCTTTCCCTGCGGTCGGGTGGTTCGAGAGTGGTGCCTGGCTGGGTGGACCCGCTTTCCCAGGCTTCCCACCTTTCCTACCATCATCTTTGTCCTTCTTCTTCCTGTCGACGTCCTCTGCTTCGGGATAGCGGCTAGCCGTCCTTATCAGATCTTCTTAAGAGCGGGGGTGGTGGGCGTTCAGCTGCTTGTGGAAATACCCTGATCTTAAGGCATGGATAAATATCGGGATCGCCGCCTTGGAGTCGAAGTCGTAGACATTATTAACTTCATTTTTCCATTTTATCAGGAAGTCTTTGAGGCTCTCGCCTCTATCTTGCTTCACTACACAGAGGTGAGAGAAGGGTTTCTTACGCTGTATGCTACCGGAGAAGTATGTCAGGAAGCTCTTGGAAAACTCCCAAAAGTTTTGGATCGACCCATCCGGGATGGTGTTGAACCAGTCTTGGGCCGCTCCATCCAGGGTGGACAAGAACGCTCGGCACATGATGACGTCCCCTGCCCGATCATGACCACAGTAGCCTTGTACCTCGTCATGTGGACACGTGGGTCAGTGACCCCCGTGTACTCCTTGATGGCGGGCAACCTAAAGTCCCTCGGCAAAGGTACGTTCATGATGCTTGGGGAGAATGGTGCTGCCATCCGTACCTCGGGTTCCGGCGACTGCTCCCGTGCCTCCACCCTTCTTGCTAACTCCTCGATTTTTCTCTGCAGCTTCTCGACCAGGGCCGACTCGTTAGGGTGCCGGCGCGGGGCCGGCTACCGTTTCTCCAAGTGTCGGTGTGGAACCCGGTCATCAACGCGTTGCTTCCACGCCGAGTGCCAACGCGGAGCCGGCTCTTCGACGCGTCGCTCCTCCAAGTGTCGACGTAAGGCCGACTCATCAACGTGTTGGCGTGGGGTCGGCTCCCGAGACTCGCCCACCTTCTCTGTGGGTGATCTCTCGGCTTCTCTGTTTTAGTGTTGGCGAGGGCCTCTGGTAGAGGACCCCTCGGCCCGTGATCCTAATCTTTGTTGCACGGGCGCCCTCTGTCCCAATCGTTCTGGTGCAGATTGGGAAGGGCCTGGTTGTCGTCTGGCCGGTCCACTTCTTTGGGTCTCCACCCCTATTTCCTGGGGCCGCGGGGGCACTTGGCCTTGCAGTCCCACTGCCACCTGATTTAGCGTCGTCGTCACTGCTTGCTGAATGACATCGGCGGTCGCCTGGAGGTTCACGACTTGGTTCACCCCTCCATTGTTGAGTTGGTCTCGAAGGTCCCCGGGCCTCCCGTTGTTGAGCTGTTCTCGGAGGTCCCCTCCGCGATTGTTGGTGAGTTGGTCCCGGAGGTCACTTGAGGCATTGCCATTGTTCACGTTGCGGGAACCGTGGGAGCTGCGGGACACCATTCTTTCAAGCTTGCTGTTGAAAGAGGAAAAGAGTTGTGTGTCGTCGCCTGCTTGAGTGTTGGACTCAGGCTCTCAATGAAAGCACCAATGACGGTAATAATGTTACCGGTAATAATAATATTATAATAACGCTATGTGAGAGAGTAACAATAGTTGTATTGCTTTTGTCTCAGTATAGAAAATACAATGTCTTTGTCCAGCGTATTGAACGTCCCCCTCCAAGCTGAGGGGATCCCCTACTTATACAAAAGCTGCTAACGGTAACAACATGAAGCATAAATGGGGAGCTAAGCCTTTAATTCTCTCTCATCAATTGTGACATCAATGGTGGCTTCAATGACAGTAAAAGTGACAGCCGTTGGAATTCTGCCCGTTGGAGTTTTGCTCGTTGGGTTTCCATGTGGTGTCGGGTCAAATGCTGCTTATGATCCGGGTTGGGTGCCAGCACCATTCCATGTGGTGTCGGGTCAGATGCTGCTTATGATCCGGGTCGGGTGCCAGCACCGTACCATTATCCTGTCAATACCTATATATCTACTAAAAATGGGGAGTGGGGTGGGGGAGCCATGGCCCCCCTACCACAAGGGGTGGCTCCGCCCCTGGCTTCTGCTATCACGAAGTGATGAGCTTTGTGAGACCAAGTTCCAGCAGGTAAGCCAAGTTATGCCGTCACGCAATTCATCAAGCCAAGTTCAATGAGCTATCTTCTGCTGCCACCAAGACCATCATGTCGTGACGGGCTTCGTGACACGCTAGTTCCTGTGTGTAAATAGCAGAATTTTGTTATTTCTCGAGAGTTCCGAACATCACACGAACCCTAGCTATTTCTTTTACACTTTTGAAACTTGTATCGAAGGTTCTACACTTGAATTTCAATAGATAAGTTTTATTTTCCTTTTATCTCTTTATCTTTCAATGTTGATGCTTTACACTTGTGGCTTCTCATGTCATAAAATAGTCACTTTGATCAAACCAAAATAGCCACTTTATAATGCTTATATACTAGCCACCTTAAAAGATAATTAAAGAATACATTTACAACATCTTTATTTTTAACGGTTGAAATTATAATACACTACTACTATGTCATAAGCTAAGAGTATTTTTTTCTAATGTAAAAAATAAAATTGTGCTTTATCATATAGGAAAAATAATGCAAAGTACCTATAGGACCTTATAGCTCCTAATAATTATTTTATGTACAAGAGAGAGAGTAATGGGATTAGGCAAATTATTGTGTGCACTATGCATAACAAAACGTACATTTTTAATATACTAAATGTAGATTATTTGTGTACTGAATGTATATTATATAATACAATGTACACTCAGTATACAAATAATGTACATCCCCTGAATACAATGTACAATTTTAATATACTAAAAGTACATTATTTTTGTTAATTTAATATTGATTTAAAAAAAGTGGGATCATAGTTTTTATTTATTTATTTTTCTTTCTTCAATAATATACGGTAAAGATATGTTTCGGGAGTTTTATCCCATAAAAATAACTTATCATTTTCTTTTATTATATTATTGCACTATTACAGGAAGCAATGTCAGTACATAATACCTGAAAGTGTCATGAACTAATTATTCTAAAATTTAAATTGAATATTTACCATAATAAATTTTATTGATATAATAATATTAAACAAGATATTTATTATTTTTTTAATTATATAATTATCACATTTGAACTAAACCATTAACTGAGGCTCTTTAAGCAGGTGAGGATGTGACCAAGCAGCAGACCAAAATGGTACCAACACCCAAATGTATTGCTTCAGGCGAAATTTGAGTTGCAATCATGTGGTCTGTGGGTCTTATCTAACATCCATGTAGAAATAAAAATGTTTGAAAATTTCTGCTTAATTGATTATCCTTATCCTTGCAATACTCTCTCACTTTCAAAAATGGCTCACACTTTCACGTCATCAACTTTTTAATTTTTTTCACTATTTTTTTGTTTTTACATCCCTACAATATTCTCCCACTTTCAAAAGTGGTCTCACCTTCATATATACTAGTATTTGCCCCGTGCGATGCACGGATAAAAATTTATAAGTATTGTTGTAATGTTATGATACATAGTAGAATTAATTTTAGAGTTAATACCCAAAATCGTCCTTGCCTATAGTGGTTTTTCTCAATTTCGTCCTAAACGACTTTGGTGACCTAATATTGTCCCAGACTTTTGTGCTTCGCTCAATTTAGTCCTCCATTTGTTATTCCGTCAAATTGGTGTTAAATAAATGGACAATTCAATAATGTCAATATTGATCTCTCTTTACTTTCAACTTGTGAAGTGCGAAATTCATCTTTCTTGTACGAATTACACCCAGAATTACTCCCGGACCTGCAAATCAAATTTTATATTCGCAGTTTTAGGAGTAATTCTGGGAGTAATTTGTAAAAAAAAAAGGATTTCGCAGTTCACATGTCTATGAGTAAAGAGATGCCAATATTAAAATTACGGAATTGTCTATTTATTTAACACCAAATTGACAGAATAACAAATGAGGAACTAAATTGAGCAAAAACACAAAAGTCTGGGACGATATTAGGTCACCAAAATCGTTTAGGACAAAATTGAGAAAAACCACTATAGTCGAGGACGATTTTGGGTATTAACTCATTAATTTTATTAAAAATGTAAGTTTAGTTATACATTGTAATATTTAAATGTTAAAGACAATATATAACAAAAAGTGCATTCATATTGCTAACCTCATTTGCAATAATGATCTTACAAAGTTAAACGGACAGAGAAAGACCCGGACCACCTCGTGGTTTACATAAAAAAAAATAATAATAATGATCTTACAAGTCTATTAATATGCATTCACAGTTAGGCGGAAAATTTTTTTCCCTACTTAATTTTACTTTACCTAACTTTCTTTGTAAATAAATTATTAAAATACTAATCAAAATTACAAACTATTAAAAAGTTAGTACATATTATATAATCAAAATTAATATATAATACTCGTAGAAATTAATTCATGATTACATGAATTTATAAATTTGTACGTATTTTTTTTTATCTTGCATCTTTGTGTTGTATAAACTCAACAATCTCTTTCATATATATATATATATATATATATATATATATATATATATATATATATATATATATATATATATATATATAAAGACTTATGATGATTATTAAGTTCCTAAACCTTTGATATTCCATAACTCTTAAATGCACAAAATGGAGGGAAATTTTTTTTACCTTGATTCTGCTATATTATATATAGAGATAATAACAAAATAATAATAAAATAATTAATAAAAATAATAAAAAAGTACACAAAAAGCTGTCTTTTGCAGGTTTACAAGCTTTCTAATTAAGGGTGTGTTTGGAAACCCGGAAAATGATTTCTGGAAATCATTTTACTGGTTTTTGGTGTTTGGCTAGGCAAGGAAAGAGAAGTCAACGGAAAATAACATGTGGTCAATGGAAAATAACTCATCTTTTACAAAAAAATGACTTCCTTTCTTTTTTTGGAGGAAAGTCATTTTCCATTCTCCGCTTCCATTCGTTCCCTCCTCTGGCCAGAAACTCGCCTCCATCAACAACAAACTCCACCAACAAATCTTCGAATATGACAGATCTAGACGAAAACCCACAGTCGGAGGAAGTCTCCTCACCGGTTTTCGATGCGGAAATCAGTGCCTCTAGTTTCCGGAGAACTGGTTTCCGCAACCGAAAATCAAAGCCACTGGTTTCCGGCTGCGAAAACCAAAGAACTGGTTACCGCAACCGGAAACCAAAGAAATTGGTTTCCGGCTATGGCGGTTTGTTCCTAGTGTTTGTTGGTTTTTGGATTGTAGACTTCCTACTTCTACCACATAGCAAATCTAATTTTTGGACATTAGATACTGACTGAACAAATTGGAGTTTTTCAGTTGAGTATTTTTCTGTTCATTTTCTAGAAAATGAACGAAACACACAAAGACAGTTTTTCGTTGTGCAGCCAAACACCAGAAAAGAAAATGTTTTCTGGAAAATGAGTCATTTTCCAGAAAACATTTTGCAAAAGTCATCTTCCTACTTTTCAAACGGACCCTAAGAAAACTTACAAGCCCTCCTACTGAAACACAAAGAACCAATAACGTCTCCACTGAGACTCGAACTCTCAACGTACCTTCCAAATGGAAGTCTAATCTGAATACCATTAGACCACATAGTCTTGGTGACAACCTTATTTGTTAAATATAAATAAAAACAAATTTAATTAATTAGATAGTTACCAAATTATAATATATTGTGTTAGACAAAACTACTTTTTTTTTCCTCAAAACATTGCAGTATCATTACTTAGGCTGAGTTTATGCATGTAATACTCTTTCACTTTAGAAATATGAATTCTATTTAATTTTCACATCACTAAATTTGTAATTGATTTACTATTTTCTCTACATCCTCTGCAATACTCTCTCACTTTCAAAGGGATCATACTTTTGCATCACATAAAAAAAAAATCAAAAAAAAAAAAAAAACAAAAATGTTCAAAACCTGATGCGGAAACCTTTTATCCGTTTGCAAACCATGTCACTATTTAATTTTATTTTATTTTTTGCTTTGCAATGTGCCATGTCACTTTGAAGGAGTCCAAGTTTCAACGTTATATTTAGCCTTAATGTGAAAACTATCATTACCTAGTACATGTTACTATTCAAGAAAGGTGTGAAACACTCCATTGAGTTCATGAAAAACGCATGAGAATAATTCTCGTACAAAAAAATTACAAGTTCAATTATTGTTAACATCTTCTCGGTTGAACTCGTCATATAAGATATTTCTAATTCGATTTATTTTTTTTATGTGTGAAATTATGTAATGCAGATATGTAACACAATATAAAACTATAAATGAAGCACATAAATAAGTACACAACTGAATTTGATAACGCAGTTAGAGAACATCTCCTAAGCTAGGGGGCCACGCTTAAAAACTTTTTCACTCAAGATCAACCCGTGGTTTTTACAATCACAAGGTTCAATGGACTACAAAACTAGGTTTACCACCTATTTAAACATTAACCTCATAAAACAACTCTATGAAAAAGTTTACAAGTACAGTTTGAACTAATTCAACCAATTAAGCAAACTGTAACCAAAATGGATTTCAACACAACTTGTACTAATATCAAGTGGAGCTTACTTCTCCAGACAGTACACCAGTCTTACTCTTTCCTTGTTTTGAAGCTTCCTTGCAGCACCTTCCAAAAATATTTCTATTTCAGCACCTTCCAAAATAATATTACAATTTTTCCCTTTTTGAAGATTTCAAAAATCCTTCATTACATAGTTCCTTATTTATAGGGTCTTGGACACCTAAAAATAGGGAAACTAATCCCATTCTTCACCACCCTTCACGTAAATCCTTAGTGAGAAATTTTCTCCACCACACATTATTTTGAGAGATTTTAGGACTCCACTATCTCTAGTATTTTCATAATTTAGGGCCCCCCACACCCCGGCAGAGCATTTGGGAGGATGTAAATCATGGTGACTAAACTGAATATGAACCATAGAGGCTAGACCGGTGCTCACTGCGCACAAGAAGCCCCCCTCACTTTGAGAGGTTGCTCCCACACTATCGCTGGTGAGACTCGATCCCTGGTCATTATTCCAAAGTTTCACCTCTATGACTAGTTGAGCTACCCATGCGGGCTCAGCATTTTCTCCATACACATATAACTCCCTAGTCTTTCCCATATATTATTTTCAACAAAATAATAATTGAATCAACATATGCCAACAATAAAATAACTAAGTACTAAAATATATTAAACTAATATAATTATATTCACAATTATACTACTTTAATATATTTTTGTACTAACAATCTCCCCCTTTGACATATGTTGATCAAACACACAAACAATCTCCATTTACAAATGTACAACAAGTTCTCCCTTCAATTCATACGCACTCTCCCCCGCAATTCATACACAAATGTACATCAAGTTCTCCCCCTTAATTCATACACTCTCTCCCTCAATTCATAGCATGTCTCTCCCTTTTGATAAACATTAGCCAAAGATAACATAACCATAGCAGCATGTATTGAACAATGCAAGCAAATTCAATTAAGAGCATGCAATCGATAAGATGTAGATAGATTCTGAAATTGGATAACTTCACATAGGGAGGATATGAGAGGTATATCAACACTGGAAAACTTTCACACCAGGCTCTTCTTAGGTCCTTTGGATCTATATTAAGTACCGGTAGCCATCTTCTAGGTAATTATGTCAAAAATGTTACTGAAATGCTTTACACTAAAAAACTTTCACTCCAGGTTGTTCTAGGGTCCTTTTAGAACCATAGCAGACACCGGGTAACCCTCTTCTAGGTAATCAAGACAAGTATGTACTGGTAAGAGTGTCAATGTGTTTGAAGATTAGAGATGTAACACCCCCGATTTTCAGCATAATTTAAGACAATTAAAACTTGAATAGTAAAAGCAATCTAACCATAGAGATCATAAAACGCGAAAGCTAAGTAAACAGTATAGGGTGTTATGCCAAATCTAAGCAACATACTTAGATGCACAGGCTAGCAATGATCTAATCCAAAACTGTCATAACATTCACATGTCTAAAGTCTAGGCACACATGCCACAATAACTAGACTAAGAGATAAAGGAGAGCTACGCTAAACTACGTCATCTTCTAGCGCGCTCGAACGAGAACTACTCTGTACATGTAAAACATAAGGGGTAGCACCCGTTAGCGAATAATGCTAAGTAACCCAATACTACGCGTTGAGTATAACATAGTATAGATATAAGAAAATCATTTGAGACTTGGAATACATAGATATAGCCTTAGCAACACTAGCTTTAAACAAGAGATGAAGACATCAGTTGACTCATCAAGAGGTTCACTCAATCATATCGACCAACAACGGTTAGGCTATGGAATCAATCACAAGAAGACAATGATACGGATTCAACAATAAACACGGAAAAGTATTCAATAAACCATCATCAAGGTCACATATAAGGAGATGCTCATAAGTAATGAATTTCAAGAAACATAATCAATGACCACTTTCACATTCCAACCTTATACCAAGTTCCAACCTTTACTCCTCTCCATCCTTATAACAGTTCCAACCTGTACCTCCAGGCCACCCTATACAACCAGTCCAACATTATCCCTCCATATGGAGACTTAGCTCCTCCGCCTACTTTTCTTTATATAACATATCACGTGATAGTTTACCGTCAATCATTTGAGCACGCAGCTCATATCCGCCAGCATTTATACACATAGTCACATAATCATTGACAAAGACAATTGAGGCTCATCATTAGCCCAAATCAAGGAATAATCATAATAGAGTACAACATTTGTACAAGCTTACAAGGATAGATTCAACCGAAGAACTCAAGAAGAATACGAAGGAACATTTCAACGTAATACCATAACAACAAAGGGCTTCCACATCAAAGGATCACAATGATTGGTAACACAAGTCACCAATCCTCATCAAGAA